CCCCAACTTTGGAGAAGATTTTCCAGGGCAAAAAAATAGTCTTATACATTTAAAATCACAAAATACCTGTTTTTCAAAAGGAGAGGTGAACTTCCAGCCAGTTCTAATTTTGTTTATGTTTCTCTCTCTCTCTTTTTGGCATTTTATGGCAGTTCAGATAGCCCCCATAGGGTCCCAGGGGCAGAAAATGCGGGCCCTGATCCACCACAGATGTCTATCCTTGCTTTAGATAGACGTGCACAAAGACATACAGCACATGCCGAAATTCTAAAGAAAGTACATGATACCTAAAAATACACCAACCCACTCCCTAACTGGTACTCTTATCATAATGCATAGCTTCTTAAATGGGGAGACAGCCAGCAAGACAGAATTGTTGGACTTTTATTGTGGGGTGGGGAATGGAATACACAGTTGTGATATTCCAATCAGAATGAGGAAGCATACAATGGACAGAAACTGGCACCTCAGAAGGAAACATAAAATGCAGATTTTGCAAACTTCACATATCTGGTTATCATACTGCTCCTTTAGAACCCATATCTGAGTAATTAGTGGGTTTATTCAGAGAACAAATATGGCATACATGGAAGCAGTCACTATCCTTCCAATATGTACTTTTACTATACCTATACTTTTACAAATATTTTCAGGGGGAAAGCTTTGCAGTCTTTATTACGTAGTTTTTTATCTTGTCTTTCTTGTACCATAGAACCCACGGCAGCTTATAACAAATTCGTTGCAAAATCTTTGTCTACATTTTCTAGCATAGTAAACACTTCTTAATTCAGTTCCTTTCCATTGTTCTCTGTGATACAGAAAAACCATCATATATGGAAATAATACAACATAATGTAAAATTAAATCAATAACAGAACAACTTTAGTAACAGACAAAAATCATTAATAGTGCAATGATTATATTATTAAAAAATCCTGGGGGGGGGGAGCTGCTTTCATCTTCTACATCAGGATCAGCAAAATGGGTGCAAGTCAAATACAGTTGGAGAGGATGTTCCAAAACAAGGGAGGTGGGACAGAAGCAAACCTGTCTCTGTATCATCATCCATGGAAACTTGGAAAGTTGAGGTATCTAGAGCAAGGCTTCAACCAACAAAAAATCAGTACAGGTTTAGTTTCCCATATTTGAAGTCCCTGGGACCAGAAGTGTTTTAGATAATTTTTTGAATTCTGGAATATCTACATATATGTAATAAGATAGCTTGGAGATGGAACCCACGTTTAAACATAAAATTCAATCTTTTGAACACCATAATCCAAAACAGTCAGATTAGAAACAGCATTCTGTACTGCATTCAAAGTGGAAACTATAAACTCAAAGCAGAGAACTACCATCAGACAGTAAAAATATCAGCAATATAGCCAATAATTATCCGCATGCACATTCATCCATCCCACTCTCCTCCATGAAGGCCTGCTCTGCCACTTCATGCTGTCTGAGAGGTGACTGTAGACCAGGGGTAGGCAATAAACTTAAACCAGGAGAGTATAGGTCCTGGCAGATTTTAATAATCTGTATGACTTCCATGGGCCAACCTAGCACACACACTCTCTCTCTCTTACTCTCTCTAAATAAAATGTTTTTAGTATTACACTCAATATGAAATTTGCCACCTGTCCCTGTGCTTGTTTGCTGAGAAACAATACAGGTTCACTCTCTCATACATAGCAATAAACAATGTCTGTGTGAGACGACTAGTTCATCCAGCCCAGTACTGTCAAAACTAACTGGCAGCAATTCTCCAAAGTTTTAGGCAAAAAAATAAAAAAAAATTCAAGCCTTCTCTAGAGACAGAAACTGAAACTGAGAAGCTGCTCTTCTGCTGAGCTATCAGAAACTACCTTTACATCAGAATCTATTAATAAAAGCTCTCTAGAGGGGGGCGTGACTAGCCATCGATCATGGTGGATACATAAAACTTGAGCAGGACAGGATCTCAGCTTTTACCAATTAAATGGAGAGAATTTCGCTCAACTTACAAGATCAAAAATACCTATCTGATGCAATACCCAAAAGGTCAGTAGATTAAGCAATTCTGGGGGGTTGCAAACTGCCAGAAATAGTGCAAATTGAGTCCACTTTTAGGGTTAGGGTTAGGGCTAGGGAATCATGGGAACTGTATTTTATTATGGCACCAGAGCTCTCTGACAGAGAAGGCTCAATGTCTCAGAAAAAATACAGTTCCCATGATTCCCTAGCACTAACCCTAACCCTAAAAGTGGACTCAATTTGCACTATTTCTGGCAGTCTGCAACCCCCTTTTGTGTTTCTGCTCATCTCTTGAAGATCCAAAAACTGAAACAGAGGACACAGAGATGACACGAGGGAAGGGAGGCAGAGATGAGAGTCCCCTGACACCAGACCAGACCCATCATTTTTAGACCTCCTGGAAAGGCTTCATGTAATTTTAGTTCAGGACTTACAAAAAGACTGGGCATTCACCCTTGAGCCGGTGAACTCAAAGCTCACTGCCCTGACAGCCCGCACTGGAGATATAGAAAATACAGCTAATGTAGCTCTTGAACAGGGTCATTCTCATGAGGCCCACCACATACAGGAGTTAGAACAAATGAATGACTATCTCACAAACAAAATACAGGATTTGGAGGACAGAAATAGACACTTAAATATCAGAATTCATTGGATTTCTGAATGGGAATAGTCTCAGGACATGATTTCATTTCTCTTTATTTGGCTGAATAATACCTGCCCAAGTCTTGATCTCCTTTCAGCTGATAAAGAGCGAGCACATCAGACGTCAGCTATTAAACGGAGACAAGGTGCTCCCCCAGGGACATAATTATATGTTTTGTACATTGTCCAAAAAAAAAAAGTACAGTAAGCCCTCCGTTTTTGTGGGGGATCCGTTCTGGACCCTCCCTTGCAAAAATGGCGACTTACCGATATTCAAGCCTGATAGGCTTGAATGGGGCGCGCCCCACTGATCTTAACAGAGGTCGCCCCTCCATGAATATTCAAAACCATGAATCTCAAGCCTGCGAGAATGGAGGGGCAACTGTACTGAAGAAGCTTTCCAGTACCCCGAACCCTGCCTACCAAGATTCTAGCTTACAAGTATATCAGGACATCTTTCCTGA